CATGGTACAGTACATAACATAACAGTAGCAAGCAATCTGCCATGAATAGAAGCCATTCACAACAGTTTTTCTGACATTGCAATCATGTGATCACTGTGATTGGCTATAGTGATTACAGGATACCCCAGCCACCAGATACTGAGCATTGTGATCTGCTGTGTCACAGGATTGCGCCGCTGCGCACCCAGGGAGCATGCATGTGCTAGGCAACGTATGGGTCGCCTAGGCTGTAGCTGCCACCCGCCTGCAGTAAATGGTCTGTGGGCAGATGGCATGTGGTTAACCTCAGAATATAGCCTAACAACATCACCTTTGTTCCTTCTAGTGGCCATAATGTGGTATTTTCCTGATTCATTCTATTTTGTATGAAGAATAAAATTCAACCTGGAGAGAGAAGATAGCTGAACAATATTTCTCCCTCTAGTGACCTTACAGTGATACTAAAAAGTAAATTTGTTTTTTTTTTTGTAAAATAACACGTCTATACTTACCTGCTGTGTGCAGTGGTTTTGCATAAAGCAGCCTGGACACTCCTCTTCTCGGGTCCCCTGCCGGCTCTCCTGGCTCCTCCTTTCTGTCAGGTGCCCTCACAGCAAGCAGCTTGCTATGGGGGCAACCGCTGCTCCGTGTGTCCATTCACACACAGAGCTGCAGCTTGAGATTGCTCCCTCTCTCTCTTTGTTGGCGGACTGTCCGTGATTGACAGCAGCAGGAGCCAATGGCTCATGTTTGCTGTCTCATCCAATAAGGAGGACAGAGACCCAGACAGCCAAGGCTGTTGTGCACATTGCTGGATCTCAATGGGGTTCAGGCAAGTATTGGGGAGGGGCTAAGGGCACTGCTGCACATAGAAGGTTTTTTTTACCTTCATGCATAAAAGGTAAAAAACCTTCAGCCTTTACAACCGCTTAAGCCCAGGTTCACACTTTTGCGGTGCAACATACCGCATGCGATTCGCACAGGAACCGCACCGCATTCCTCTGCAAATCACAGGCGAATTCTGTACATTTTGTATGGCTCAAATCGCACCACATTCGCACCAAAAAAGTGCAGGACCCTTGTTTTGTGCGATTCTGCACATCGCACCGCGTTCTGCTAACTGATTTTGGGGTGTCGTTAACTTAAAATACACACCCGCAATGGTTCGCGTGAATGGGATGCGATTATGATACGGTGCGGAGATCACAAAGAAACCGGTGAAAATTTTGCACCGCATCAGTGTGAACCCGGGCTCAATGTGGCATTATTCTAAGTCACTGTGCTTTGTATAACGAATAATATTTAACATGAGGAGAAAATAGCCTAATACCATTCATCTTTGCCCCACCTAGTGGCCAAAATGTGTTATTTTCCTAATTCACTCTGCTCTGTATGAAGAATAACATTCCACCTGGGGAGAAAATAGGGGGAAAAAAAAATTTCTTTTTACAGAACAAATGTATATGCAGTTTCACAAGATGAATAGCTCTGTTTTGTTTTTGTTTGTTTGTTTTTTAAGTACGCCATTTGAATAAAATTGAGTTTTCCTTTCATGTATATGAGAGACCCTCAGCGCAATGGACCTCCTATGCAACAAGTATTGCAGCTAGCATGTATTGTGTTCCCACATCTAAACCATAAATTAAAATGCGCTTTTTATTTATGGTTTTCCTTTTAACCTAGAAACAGGTATACGGCTATCAAGATTAAAAGAAACTGTGTGTATTCAGCAGGAAAAAATAAAAATAAACAATGCATTTGTGTGTGCGACTACATGTCACAGGGTCAGCAAAGTGGCTAAGCGCTTAGAAACTTTTTCCTTGCAGAAGTGGGGTTCTCAGCCAGGACTATCTGCATGGAGTTTGCATGTACGCCTTAGTATTTGCCTGGATTTCCTCCAGGTACTCTGGTTTCCTCCCACCATCCAAAGACATGCTGGTAGGTCAATTGGCTCCTGTCTACATTGACGCTACGTAAGTGTGGTTATGCACATTCTGTATGGCGGTCTTGAGGAACTGGGGAGGGTTAGGGTTGGGGGGGAAGACCTATGAAAACAGTCTTTTGGAGACATGGAGTCCATTCAGCTGACCCATAGCATTGCAGAAAGTCGAATACGACTAGGCAGCTATACACATACATATGTCACATCCATCCGCCTTTCCAGCAGCCCATGTCCATACAGGTAACTCTGAAGTTAATTCCACTTGACGTCATACATGTTCTCTGCCTGGTAAGGGATATGCTCATTTTCCAAGAGAGGCCCCATTATGCTGTCAGAGGGTTAACCCACACAGAAGCAGCTTCTCGCTCACAGACCACTTATCTTGGCTAAAAGCTTCATTATGAATAATCCAGAAGCCTTAGTTACCATCATGAGCATTATAACAACAAGTGCTGCGACCATTACCACTATGAGGCCACGGGGTTTTCAGGAAATACCCAGCTACTCCGCCAAATGGATATTTACGATGGTTTAGGTTTCCAAGATCTTGTCCTGGGGAACTCCACTTTGTCTCTCTCTCTCCATAAACGTCTCACTCTTTTCCATCCGCTGGTAAAATTGTCTCCAGAGGGATTTGTTCACCATCAAGAAATGTGCACGTTCATGAACGCTGAATTCTAGGGCAACCCCTGGTTCACATATATGTGGCCGTGCAGTCTGCGTTTTGCACGGGCACGAGAGCCCATTCATTTGAATGGACTTCCGTGCCCGTGACATGCAGGGAAGAAGTCCCTGCACTTTTTTGGAAAACGCAGCCTGCACGGGAACCTCGGTTCCCAGTACAGTTGCTTTTTCCAGTGCGGACGGTGTGCCATTAGAACTAATGGCACACGCCCGCTGGTCTACATTCCTCTGTGCGGGTAGTGCAGATGCACGGATTTTCGTGCGGATCCGAAGTGGCACCACCCACACAGATGTGAACCTAGGGTAAGGAAATATTATCTTAAGACACAGTGGCTAAGTAGTTAGCACTGCTGCTTGGCAGTACTGGGTTCGTTGGTTCAAATCCCAACCACGGCACCACCTGCCTGGAGTTTGCATGTTCTCCCTGTGCCTGCGTGGGTTTCCTCCGTTTCCTACCACACTCCAAAGACATGCTGGCTGGATAATTGTCCCTAGTAAGTGTATGTATGAATGTGAGTTAGGGACTTTAGATTGTACGCTCCTTGAGGGTTAGGGACTGATGTGAATGTACAATATATATGTAAAGCACTGTGTAAATTGATGGCGCTATATAAGTACCTGAAATAAATAAATAAGACAAGACATGAATCTCAGTGTGCTTTGTGTGTTTCTTCCAGATCTGTGCATTATGTTCCTGTAATAAAGACCGCTCACTGCTGCTCTCTCTCCTTTTGTAGGGTGACTGGTCTTGTCTCCGCCCCCCTCCTATAGTTTTCTGCAGGCAGAGTGTAGTGGGTGGGTCTTTTAAGTCCCTCCCTCAGCTCTGCTCTTTGCACGATGGACTGTCTTCACTGGTTACAGTTAGTGGTACACTGAAATGAAAATTCTGGACTGAAACCAAAAATTCAGGATGCACTTGGCCAAAAACCAAAACTGTAAAAATATATAATAAATATATTTCACGGAGCACCACCACTGAATTTAACCAGTCACCTGGCCCCTTAGAGTCACACAGACTGTCATTTATGCTGAACTTTTATTACCAGTTTATCCTTTTATAATTTTTAATTATATTTTTTGATTGGAATTACATTTTTAGTGCTGCACTAACTTATCTATTCTATTGTAAGGTATATATGTGGCCGTGCGGTCTGCATTTTGCACGAGCACGAGAGCCCATTCATTTGAATGGACTCCCGTGCCCGTGACATGCAGGTAAGGGTTGCCTTGAGTGCTTAGCTGCTGATTGGATAGTGCTAACTTTTACTATTATATTAGATTATCATTATCAACCTTTTTTTTTGCATTGAAGTCAAAAGGGACACAATTTTGCATTGAAGTCAATAGAGGGGGTTTTTGCATTGAAGTCAATGGGATGGGATTTTGCATTGAAGTCAATAGGGGGAGCGATTTTGCATTGAAGTCAATAGGGGTGCATCTTTGCATTGAAGTCAATTATTATCGGCACTTTTTTTTTCTTTAGCACCAAAATGCCATTAACCCTATTTTTGGACGATCATTTTCGGCAGCCGATATATCAGTGCATCACTAGTTACAGATCCTTCCTGCCTTGATTACAACTGCAAGTTGAAGGAAACTCTTTTTAACGGGGTCACAAAGAAATAATTTTTTGTTACTTTCAAACAGCAACAAAAAGTTCTAGCATTAGGCCTCATAGACAGGGGTGCTTGGGGCCACTGTCATAAAATTCATGCATTTTTCCCCACCTTGGAGGCACAAGTGCAGAGTACAGCTGCCCATAAAAGTCAATGGCTGTACACAGGTATTCATGGGATTCTGGTACTTGCATAAACATGAGCAGGTGTACAGGCATACGAGGCTGGACACAGACAAGTGTACATCCAGCAGTATTCAGCCAGTTTTGCAATGCAGGCAACCCTGCCAGATAGCATAGGCTGGTCTTGTGCTCAGGATCTCACTGCTCACTACATGGCAGTTATTAAGAAATATAACCTGGTCAGTGTTACGTGGACAGCACTATGCAATGTAAAGTCAGACAATCAGACTCTACTGCCTTGTATAGTGCTGCCCATGTAACACTGAAAGCTTCCTGACAGGAGGAGAGAGCAGAGGGACGATCTTATCACTGTACTGATGATTTGTCCAATCACAGGCTGGGGCGGGTCCTAGAGCAGGTTATATTATTTACCTGCGGAGCAGTCAGCAGTGAGGTCCTAGGCCCTAAACCTGGCTAGGTTATCTGGAAGGGTCGCCTAGATCGCAAGACTGGCTGGACAGAATTAAAAATCCTAATACAGACAAAATTGTACATACACTATATTGTTAAAAGTATTGGGCCAGCCCTCCATATCATTGGATTCAGGTGTTCCAATCTCCTCCATGGCCACAGGTGTATAAAATGAAACCCCTAGGCATGCAGACTGCTTCTACAAACATTTGTGAAAGAATGGGTCGCACTCAGGAGCTCAGAGAATTCAAGTGTGGTACCGTGATAGGTTGTCACCTGTGCAATAAGTCCATCCGTGAAATGTCCTTGCTACTAAATATTCCACGGTCAACTGTTAGTGGTAATAACAAAGTGGAAGCAACTGGGAACAACAGCAACTCAGCCACGAAGTGGTAGGCCACGTAAAATGACAGAGCGGGGTCAGCGCATGCTGAAGCGCACAGTGCGCAGAAGTCGCCAACTGTCTGCAGAGTCAATAAAAACCTACAAAAAACTTCATGTGGCCTTCAGATTGGCACAACAGTGCATAGAGAGCTTCATGGAATGGGTTTCCATGGCCGAGCAGCTGCATCCAAGCCTTACATTACCAAGTGCTATGCAGTGGTGTAAAGCACGCCACCACTGGACTCTAGAGCAGTGAGATGTGTTCTCTGCAGTGACCAATCACGTCTGTCTGGTAATCTGCTGGATGTGTCTGGGTTTGGCAGTTATCAGGAGAACGGTACTTGCCTGATTGCATTGTGTCAAGTGTAAAGTTTGGTGGAGGGGGGGTTATGGTGTGGGGTTGTTTTTCAGGGGTTGGGCTTGGCCCCCTAGTTCCAGTGAAGGGAACTCTTAAGACATCAGCATACCAAGACATTTTGGACAATTTCATGCTCTCAACTTTGTGGGAACAGTTTGGGGATGGCCCCTTCCTGTTCCAACATGACTACACACCAGTGCACAAAGCAAGGTCCATAAAGACATGAGCAAGTTTGGGGTGGAGGAACATGACTGGCCTGCACAGAGTCCTGACCTCAACCCGATAGAAACACCTTTGGGATGAATTAGAGCGGAGACTGCGAGCCAGGCCTCCTCCCCCCGACATCAGTGCCTGACCTCACAAATGTGCTTCTGGAAGAATGGTCAAACCTTCCCATAGACACCACTCCTAAACCTTGTGGACGGCCTTCCCAGAAGAGTTGAAGCTGTTATATCTGCAAAGGGCGGGGCCAACTCAATATTGAACCCTACGGACTGAGACTGAGATGCCATTAAAGTTCATGTGCGTGGAAAGGCCGGCCAACCAATACTTTGGCAATATAGTGTATGTATGTAGAATGAGTATTTTTGTTTGCTCTGTAATCCATAACGTTTTCAAGCAATAACTATATTTTCAAAGCAGCTTCAAAAACTCTTTTAGCCATGTGTTTATCGTTGGCAGTGAACCATCAACCCAGAATTTAAACTTTCCATTCTTCCTACCATTTAAGGCACAGATTCCATAAAAAATACATTTTGGAATGATGTCATCCGCCCGCCCGTTTATTTGTGGTCTGTGTGGGGCACGGCATGAATTGAACAAACACCATAGGGTGCCTTAGTTACAAATCCGAGTCTGTGAGCCGGCGAGGTCCACAGTCTGTACACAGCATGCAATCAGCATAATGACATCCTGGATCTAGGAAATGACAAGGTGCCGACATTCCTTCTACAAACTGCTCATTTCATGGCAATTGCAACTTTAGGAGGACCAGGCACTGAAACTATTTCAAATGATTCCGGCTGCAGATTTACAACGATGGAAAAGCATGTGAACCAACACTAGTCTGCATCATTTCTTATGTCCCCATCTATGATTTATAGGTCTATAGCAGAGGACTTCCAACTCTTTAGTATGAGGGCCACAATGTATATTTTATAAATATGCGTAAGCAAAAAATAAAATACTCCCCACTAGTCCCCATTAAATTTCCTTTTACACTAGGGTCCCCCATCAGAGTCCCCTTCACATCACAGCCCCATCAGACTCCCCTTACATCACAGTTCTCCTTAAATCCAAGTCCTCCCTTACATCGGGGTCCCCATTATTGCCCATTCACCACCTTCACTGTCCGGGTCTAAATTGGGGAACCTCCTTACAACAGGGTACCCATCATAGTCCTCATTTCATTAGAGCCCCCCCCCCTTACAGAGTCCAGGGGTGTGTGTGTGTTGCTGACCTTGGTCCTCAATCCATGCACATTGCGGACCCACCACCCTAGCTATGGGACAGATAAAATCTAGCAGAGGGCCGAATGTGGACCATGCACTGAAGTTTGGAGACCCTTGGTCTGCAGCTACTAAGTTTCTTCTACCAAAAAATTTGACCCGTTTTTTTTTTGTACAGCTGAAGTTTATTCTGCTTTTGCTTTTCTTTGGTAAAATCTTTTCATTTTCTTCACATACCTTATTTTAAGCCCTGTGATATCATCACTGGGTCTCTGTGCTTGTCTACACAATGCAGGCAGATCATGGCTCATTAGAGGGGCCAGCAGTGTGCTATACATAGCCTTCTGAAAAACACCACAGCTCCCTGCCTCAGTACTCAGTGAAAACAGTGGGGTTGGCTCTTGAAAGGAGCTTTGCAAATATTCAAATTCCTTGATGGGTGGATATCAGTCTGGAGGAGTCGCTATTTCTATGCAGACTGCGACAGGCAATACCCACATGTGATGTTGAGCCTCTGTGACTTAAAGAATTAAAATCTAATGAATGAAAGGGGCGGGCCAGGTACAGCAAGGCTGGAGAGGAAAGAGCTAGATGCTGCTGGATGTCCTCCAACCAGGAAATGAGGCAGGCGGGCTTTGATTTGCTGCAGCTTCTGTTTTATTAGTTTTTCAAATGTTCAGTATAGCAGCTGCATTTCCCTGGATATAGTGGCACAATTACCATAGCAGGGGATAAGTCAATACAGAACAATGTGGCTGGGGGACCCAACATACACATTGTTAACCCTATAGTGGGGCATCTCCTATAGTGGGACAGCACAGAAGAATAGACAAAGTGAGACAAGAGAATCCAAGGAAGGAATGAAGAGAATGGAGGGCCATGATAGGGGCGGGATGGGAAAGGGGGATCGGAAGAGTATGCTGGAGGGGGGACATGGGGCAGTTCTAGCAACCAATCACCTGCTTAACATGAAAACTTAGGCAGCTCCCGCTCTCTGTCCGGACCTGCCGTCCTGCTGTGCTAAGGTAGGGTGGTGATTGCAGAGGGTACTGTGATTTAAGGAAGGGGGCTGTGATTGCAATGTGGGGCTGTAATTTAAGTAAGGGGGGGCTGTAATTGCAAGAGGTACTGTGATTTAAGGAAGGGGGGCTGTGAGTGCAAGGGGGTCAGTGATTTAAGGAAGGGGGTCTGTGAGTGCAAGGGGGTCAGTGATTTAAGGAAGGGGGTCTGTGAGTGCAAAGGGGACCGTGAGTGCAAGGGGGACTGTGATTTAAGGAAGGGGGGCTATGATTACAGAGGGAACTGTGATTTAAGGAATAGGGGGGGGCTGCGATTTAAGGAAGGGGGGGTTATTGCAAGGGGTCAGTGATTTAAGGAAGGAGGGCTGTAATTGAATGAAGGGTTGTTATTGAAAGGGAGGGGCTGTGATTGCAAGGGGTACTGTGATTAAATGAAGGTGGGCTGTGATTGCAAGGTGGACTGTGATTTAAGGAAGGGGGACTGATTGCAAAGGGGGGTGGTGATTTAAAGAAGGGGGACTGTGATTTAGGGAGGAGGGTTATGATTGAATTAAGGGTTGTGATTGAAAGAGGGGCTGTGATTGCAAGAGGGGCTGCAATGGGGGACTGCGACGTGAAGGGGGACTGAGGATACTTATGGTAAAGGAGAAGACAGTGACATAAAAAGGTTTGGGGGTGGGGTGGAGGGATAAGGACACTGATGTAAAGGGGGAGCTGTGATGCGAAGGGGAGGCAGTGGCCGTGATGCGAAGGGGAGGCAGTGGCCGTGATGCGAAGGGGAGGCAGTGGCCGTGATGCGAAGGGGAGGCAGTGGCCGTGATGCGAAGGGGAGGCAGTGGCCGTGATGCGAAGGGGAGGCAGTGGCCGTGATGCGAAGGGGAGGCAGTGGCCGTGATGCGAAGGGGAGGCAGTGGCCGTGATGCGAAGGGAAGGCAGTGGCCGTGATGGGAAGGGAAGGCAGTGGCCGTGATGCGAAGGGGAGGCAGTGGCCGTGATGCGAAGGGGAGGCAGTGGCCGTGATGCGAAGGGGAGGCAGTGGCCGTGATGCGAAGGGAAGGCAGTGGCCGTGATGCGAAGGGAAGGCAGTGGCCGTGATGCGAAGGGAAGGCAGTGGCCGTGATGCGAAGGGAAGGCTGTGGCCGTGATAAGCATGAGATTGGGACATCTGCTGGTCCTCTGAGTTACCCCTGGTTCACACCTATGCGGCCGCGCAGGCCATGATTTGTGCGGGCACAAGAGCTCATTCATTTGAATGGACTCCCGTGCCCCGGGACATGCAGGGAAAAAGTCCCTGCACTACTTGGGAAATCGCAGCCCGCACGGGAACCGAGGTTCCCAGTACAGTTGCGATTTCCAGTGCAGGCGGTGTGCCATTAAAATTAATGGCACCCGCCCACGGGTCCAACATTCCTCTGTGTGAGTGTTGCGGCTGCAGGTACTGTATTTGTGCAGGTCCCGCAGTGACACCCACTGCACAGATGTGAACCAAGACTTACACCCCGGTCACATCAAACCATACTTTGAAATCGTGGGACTTGCAGTGAAGTTGCACGGTTTCGAAGTCAGATGACATTCCAATTTCAGGTGCGATTTGCAAGACATCTGATATAGATTTCTATGCAAAATTGCACCAAAAGTACTACATGTACTACTTTAGAAAACGGTGCGGCTCCGACCAAGTTGGAACCGCACCAATATAACCGCTCTAATTGCGGACAATAGGCTGCGATTTGGCATTCAAGTCGCATGGCATGCAAATCACATGCCAATTCTCATCCAGTGTGACCGAGGTCTTTATCAGAAGGTCAGCGCAGAGCAAAGTTGCTGGATAAGTAATTTTAGATCCAAGGGGGTCCATTGCTGCAGCTTCTAAGGAACACTGCGAGACGTTCACAGTATGCAGTGAAATGAAAGTAACACTGTACTGTATGTATGAAGAAGCAGTGTTGTTATCTTTGGTCAGGAAGTGTTTCGAACACCTCCCTCTTTCCTCTACTCCATACCAGCGGCGGACGAGTGTTCTGTAGTCCACAATAGAGAGCTGAGAACAATGCTACCTGATAACAGCTGACAGAGCACAAAAAGGTATCAGCTCACAGGATTTCTGGCAGGATCAACATGCATTTTTTCACTTTTTGAACAGATATAACAAAATGCTTTCAATTATATATTTAAAGCTAAACTCAGGTCAGATATAAATTAAAACACAAAAACGCATATCTGTTATTAATACATCAATATATTGTTTAAATGCAAGCAGTGCAAGTACTGGATTCTAACCTGGAATCAGCTCCTTGCCGTCTCTGTACAGCAGAGCAGGGGTGTGAGAGGAAGGAGCCAATCAGTTCTGTGCTGACACAGGAGGAGAGAGCAGAGTGACAGAGAGATGAGCTTTTCCTTACATTGTCCAATCATAGGCTGA